ACTTTGCGAGGCCTTAGAGGAAAGTAAGGTCAAACTTAAACATGAGGTCCCACTCACAACCATAATGGAAAATTGATGGCTGCGTGGGGTTTTAGGAGGCTGTGGGTCTCAGGGGGCTGTGCTTTTTATTTTTTTTAAACTTTTTTTATTTTTAAGTTTTAACTTAATTTTTTTGCATTTTTATTTTTAAATTATTATTTTTTTTGTATCAAATTTCAAATATTTTTGTATTTTTAATTTTAATTTAACTTTTTTTATTTTTATAAACTTTTTAAAAAACTTTTGTATTTTTAATTTTAGTTTAACTTTTTTTCTTTTTACTTTATTGCTGGGAGCAATAGCCAGCCTGCTATCGGATATTTCAAATTACAATAGCCAATAACAGGCTGGATATTGCACCCACCCACTGCCTGCTGTAAATCAGCAGAGGAGGGACCTGAAGGAAAAAGTTCTCCATCAGGTCCTCCTTTGCTGACTGACAGCAGGCAGTGGGCGGGTGCAATAGCCAGCCTGTTATTGGCTACTGCAATTTAAAAGAGCCAATAATAGGCTGGCTATTGCTGCTGGAATGGGGATGATTGCGGCTGACAGCAGAAGCGGAGGGGTGAGTAGGCAGCACGGGGGGGGAAGCTCACAGACTGTCGGATGTTTCTCCTTACAGCCTGTAATCGGCTATCTGCCCCCTCCGACTCAAATCAGGCGGCCGCGAGGCCCTTGTGAGTGCGAGGCTTTAGGGGACCGCCTAATTTGCCTAATTGGAGAGCCGCCTCTGTTTGTTTTGTATGTTTCTTATTCAACTTTGCTCTGAGATTGGTTTGTACTTTTTGCTCTTATCTGAGATACTCGCTCTGTAAAGCAGCACGTGAAGTTATAGCATTATAAAATAATGGTATCTGAGCAATATGATGACATAAAGCAGAAGCACAGCAGGCAGTTAGTTCATGTATTGTTCCCTCTCCTAAAAACCGATGAAAAGTCACATCTTAGTGGTGCATTAGCACACACTTGTCAATGCACGTTGAGGTAGGAAGCTCATTAAATTTAAATGTTCTGCCAATGCACAACAATTAACCTTTTTCTCCAGTGTGGCACAACACACAGATGGTTGACATCTAATGCAGATCTGTTGTGATGTGTTTGGGATGTGCGTTGGGGTGCTCCAGCCTTATACTTGTCCACAAGATAGTGTCAATGTGCAAGTGGGATAACTGGACACATTCTAAAGGAACCAGGCAGCTGTAACACACCGTTTTATATAACATGCTTGTTTTTGTAGCTACCCTTTTATGCTTCCCTGTCATCTCCCATTTGATAAAAGGTAGAATCTAACTGCCTGTTGGAGACAAGTCCTCGTATTGGGCACCGAAACTGATGAATAAGTTTGCATTTAAGATATTTTGGTGCTAGTGACAAGTTCTCTTTAAGGACAATTTTCCTCTACTTTCTGTCACTGTTAGTGAATAAATCCCTCATTTTTGGCCATGTACGTGTTGTTTAAAGTAATGGGAAAGAACAGATTTTGCATACATAATTTAGGAGTATTTTCAAGTACATAGCACTCTAGTGGTGTATTCCCTGAAGTTTTCAGGTTTTGCCCAGGAGCATCCTGGACTCCGCGTGACAGCTAAGAGTTTTTCCTGTTATACTGCAAACTACTGCGCCCTCATGGGGATATACACCAAGTTGACAAATATAAAACGAGGCCTAATGCCACTATATAGCAAAATAATGAACAGGCTGCAGTTGCAACATTTTCTCCTTCTTCCTTGTAGCAGGTCTGTTTCCCATCACATCTTATTTTAAGATGGCTTGCTTTATTTTATGTAATTCTAGACATCTTTGAGTCTTTGTTATGCAAAAATATAAAGACTGCTTGGAAAACATCACTTTCATTATTCCAAGACCATGCTTCTTCATTAAAATACAAATAATAAATTGGCCCCTTTTAATACGTTTTATATTATAGGTGGTGATAGTCCTGAATGCCGTGTGGCTATTTTGTGCCCATAGATGGGAATAATATGTTTTTGGGCAGACTTTGGTATAATTAGAGTTGGAACCTAACTAAATTATGAATGGGTCATCTCCAATTATTATGAGTGATATATTTGTTATTGCCCACCCTTTCCTTCTTCCCCTTCTCCCTTTCCTACCCTTATCCCTGGCGTTTCCCCCTCCTCTCCCCCACCATGCCCCCTAGGTCCTTTCCTCCTCCTCTCCCCCACCATGCCCTCTAGGTCCTTTCTTCCTCCTCCCCTGCCCCTTCTTTTCCCCTCTTCTGTCGTCTTTTCTTTCTCCATTATTATCCTTTTTTTTTTCTTCATCCTATTCCCTATTTCCTTCTCCTTCCCCCCTCCACTTTCCTTCTACCCCTTCCTCCCTCCTTTACTTTTTCATTGCCTCCACTTTCTTTCCTGTTCCATTCCCTTTCTTAACCTACCATAGAAAATAAGGGGAGATGAGCTGTGACTTCATTGCCTCTGTTGTAAACTTTGAGACTGAATTTCTTCACAGTGTCTGCGTCTACACAGTTCAGAGAGGACTTGTTTTTAAGCTAATTTACTGCTTAATACGTATATGTAAATGTTTATTGCCTGTCCACATATATTCATTTTAAGAATTTAGCCAGAGGTATGCTAAAGCATCAATATTGTAATAGTCACTTAATTTATGTTATGCATCCTTAAGAGATGCAGAACTAAATATATCACATAACTGACAATCTAGGTATCCCAATACCAGGTTCTGAAGCCCACCCAGTTTCATAAATCTGCTTTATTTCAACACTGAGAGAAGAAACATAGCCACACTCTTTATTAATACCTGCTTAAACTACTATTTTAAATAAACAACAGGTCCAAGTAAAACAATGTCTTTGCACTGTAAAAGTGCAATTATTCATTTAACTGATGACACATTTTCCTATTGTTTCCAGCTTAACTCTGACATCCAGCCATTCATAAATGGGAAACAATCTGGAGGCTCTTTCAGCTTGAATTCTGCCCCTGTTGTTCTTCATCAGGAATCTATAGGAAGAGAGACCTGGATGGAACAGGTTAAAGGGGTAAGCAGCCAAATTCATTGTTCTTATGAACTTCTTTATCACTGTGTCTGTAAAAGTGTATGTCCAAGCAAAATGAAAATAAATAATATGCATTATATCTGTGCAATGCATACACATATTGATTCTGCCAGAAATCCAGTCAGCTTTTATCTTCCTGTTTTACCAGACAACACAGTGCCTCTGCTGCACTGAAATTCAAAGCAGTGTTGTCTGCCCTGCTCAGGTCTTTCCCAGTGGCGTCACAAGGGGGGTGCGGCCCTCACCTGGGTGACACCAAAATGGCTGACAGTTATTTTGGTATCAGGCACTCGGTCATGAACCGAGAGCCCGACAGTTGCAGGAGAGAGGAGGGGACCCAGCGCTATACCTTATCCCGCCGGGTGAACGTCCCCTCCTCTCTGTGCCGGCGTCTATCACCAAGATGGCTGCCGGCAGGTACCACAAAGATGGCCGCCCATGCGCAACGACGCCATTGCGCGTGGTGACATCACGCACATGCGCAATGTCGCCACGGCGGGGTGTCACCCAGTATCCGCTCCAGGTGACACCCGGCCTCAGGACGCCCCTGGTCTTTCCCCTTTTGGTTTATTGAATACATCCCTCTATTGTATAGTGACACAGGGGAGGTGTTCTGTAGTCTAACAAGGGAGAACTGGACAGGGCTGACAGTACAGCTTGGGATTTAATTGCTGCAGAGGCAGAGTTGTCAGCTCAAACAGAAAGGTAGGAACACACTGTGGGTTATAAATATGAAAAAAAGCAGTAAATGAGACATTCATCAAACATTCCATTTAGGAGAATCTTCCAGGTTCATGTGTTTTATATTACAGGGATTGATTCACCCATAGGGATAGTTTGCTGAATGGCACATTCACTGCTTTATAAATATGCCTCTTTCTAACAGGTCAACAGGTATTTTTCTGTACTTGCAGTGTTTTTAAAGAGAGAAAGCATGCATGTATCTGTCAAGTATGTCTTATGGGAAGTTCCGCAGTTATACTGCAGTGTTTCAGTGGAAAGTTTTATAGTAAAGAGCTCAGATTTCCATTGCCAGGCTATCAAAGCAGATTGTTCAATACATAATAGAAGTATTTTTTTAATTAATGTAAGAAATAAAATAAATATAACTATTCATCCACTTTAATCATAGTCCAGCAAGCGATGGAGCCCATGTCAGAGTGATTTGATTTTTTCTTATAAAAGCCCTCAACATTTCTACAATTTAATACCTATTCTTTAATTTGATTTTTTTTTTAAAACAACTATTTATGTGAAATTCTTCTTTGATAGCCTAGTTGGGGATCAGATTCCCTTAATATAAATACAATTTAATTTGTTCTATTGACCATTATTGGCTTCGCAAAGTAATTTAACACAATTGCTGCATTGCAATGACCATCACAGCTCTATGCTAGTCTGTTTTTTTTAAATAGACTTTTCAAACTTAATAAACAGTAATATTGCTGCTAAAACATCCATGAAGGGGTTTTAAATAGGTCAGAGTTTGGAGTTTGCAGAGAATTGCGGTAATGTAGCAGAAAATGTTTGTAAATATGACCTCTGGTTCACCAGTGAATTGTGTTGCTGACTTTTACCACAGTTGACATTAATTTTCTGCATGTTACCCGAGAGAATGTTAATTGCATCCTTTGGTGTTGTCACATGGAAGAGGAGGAGAAGAATACACAGGGCTGATTGAAAACAGAAACAAGTGGAGCTATATAACAACTAATTAGGTGTCATATTTTAAACAGATATTCACGTTGGTTGATCGACACCCTTTATTTTCTTCTTGTTTTAGACATTTCCCTAATATATAATAATAGTTTCCTTTGCATTGGCTGTAGGGGATGCACTGGTGAATTGATGGTCCTGGTGCTCTATTAAGATCGAATATACATATGTATAGTACCTAGTATATGGATGAATAGAACAGTGGTAAGCAGCATCTTCAAATACTGCAGAAGCTGCTCTCAGTCTGTTGTAACTTGTAGAAAGTTACAGCCTCCAGAGTCAACATTACTTGAGTGAGTGTGCTGGATAGAGGGGAGGGCTCGATTATCTGCCTGTATTGCACAGAGAAGCACAGAAACCCAATTATAGTCACTGGGGCTGCAGCAAGGGTTTTTAATGAAAATTGAAATGTATTTTAAATTTGCACTAGCATGTTGATGAAAGGAAGAGGGAGAGAAGCAATCCAGGGAAGGCAAAATGTAAGCATCTTTAAGCACTGTGTGCTGTGTTCTTGCAATGGTCCTGACAGGTTGCTTATTGTAAGGGCTTGTTCACACCATATACAGTGCGTTTCAAAGCGGTTAACTGCCAGAACGCACTGTATCGCATCCCGACTGGCTTCCTGTGTTCAGGGGCGGGGACGTGAGGGTGCATTGAAGTCAATGGCACTGCAGCCACGTCCCCCGTCCGCAGTACGATCACCCACACCAGAACAGGTGGTGGCACATCAATGCCTGCGTTCCGGTCCTATGCGATCTAAAAAAATGCTGCATGCACCATTTTTTCAGATCGCACTGGACCGGAAAGCAGGCATTGATTTGCCACGTGTTCTGGTGCGGGTGATCGCACTGGGGGGGGGGGGGGGCGTGGCTGTGGTGCCATTGACTTCAAACCCCCAAAACATTATATATTTTTTAAAAGACAACACCCTGTAGAATAAAATGGTGGCAGTTCCAAATATTTATGTTGCACGACATTGGCGCAACTAATTTTTTTGTAAAATTTAAAAGATGAGGTTACGACAAGTAAATAGATACCCAACATGCCCAGGTTAAAAATTACATGCGTCCGTCAAACGGCGACAACATTCTGTACCCCAAAAAGTCCATAGATGCTTTAAAAAAAAAACACACGTCATCAGTTTAAAGATATGTGTAAATATTGGCCCTAGATTTATTGCTCTCACTGTGCGGTGATGTCCAGCCAGCTTTACAAAGGTAAAAAGAGTTTACAGGGCCGTTCTGCCCCATTGCGGCCGATGACATACTATGTACGTCATTGGCCACAAAGGGATTGAAGGCACAGGGACACACCAGGAGCCCCGCACATCACAATGGCAGCTGAAGGCCCCAGTGTGTCCCCACATCAAATACAACAAGTGAAAAAAATTAACAGTTATGAATCATCAATTCATAACTAGCTTTGCACATGGACGGGCTTTACAAAGTACAAACATTTCCCAGCACACTCACCAGCTAGCCTGCAAAACAAATTACACGGTCTAACCATTAGGGTTATAAACAGAGGTTTTAGTTACGCAACTTTTGCAAAATATGTGGAAGCCACACTGCCTCGTCAAGGCCCCTCTGTGGAAGGGTACCTTCAAACCAAATCTGTTATCTGTTTTGCCTGAGGAAGGGACTTTGCTGTTCCGAAACGTCGATCTGATGATGTGATACCTGTGAAGTCAACAAACATTGACTTTTCTACATGCTGGAGTGCTTGTGACCTTTTTTGTATCTTTCAAACCAAATCCGTCACCTTATCCTATTGATTAAAATACCTCTAGTTCCCTTTTTGCAAGGTGTCATTTTCTGCAAGTTCACAACATTTTCCATTAAGAATTCTAGATTGTTTAAACACTCAATAAAAGCATGGCATGTACAATTTTGTGTGCTATTTCTTGAATGAGACTGTCTTACTATTATGATTTGATCAGGCCACATTTTCGAAGCTATCCAGGCGATTCCAAAGGGTTCACATACTTTCTCTATTCAGTTTTCTATGCCCTTTCTGATGTTGGTTAACCATTAAGTAGCACAGTCTTTTACTTGTAATATAATACAATGGGTTAAAATTGTCAATTTATTTTACACTGTATCTTTCTTTCACACTAGGCCCAACTGAAAGGCAATTTGATTGACCTTGCTAAGGTAAGGATAGCCGTAAAGACTGTAAATGTATATACTGACATCCCGTGTTTTCCAAGCAAAATGATTTATGGAGACCTAAGGGAGAATGGCCTGCCAAATGCCATTATTTTTGCTAGGGTCATATTGATATTTCATTGGTTTAAAACTTATTTCTGACATAGATCATATTTATAAGTATATTTTATTATATAGAAAAGATAAATCTGGCCTCTAACAGCAGTTTTCATCTGTTTCTGAAATTTTGTTTCTGAAATTACTCATAGGTTCTGTTTAACTGTGACCTCTGCTCTTTTCACTTTTAAAACATACACACCTAAACTGTACTGATTATACACTGAGTGGCCAGATTATTATGACCACCCCATCAGTACGTCATTGGGCCACCTTTTGCCTTCAATACTGCGGCAATTCTTCTTGGCATTGACTCCACGAGATGTTGAAAGGTGATGCGAGCAATCTGACACCATGTCTGATGAATAGCACTGTCCAGTTCTGTGAGATTTGATGGTTGTGGAACCAGCTGCCTGATGGCTCTTTCAACTTCGTCCCACAAATGCTCAATTGGATTGAGATCTGGTGATTGTGGGGGCCACCTAAGCAAGGTAAAGTCTCCCTCATGTTCTTGAAACCAATCCTGCACAATATGAGCACCGTGGCATGGCGCATTGTGTTATGGAAATTCGCTTGGTTCAATGCACAAATCCATACTGCGCTAGAGTGCGCCAAAGTGTGTCAAACACAAAGAATTTCCCCCCATGCTTAAAAGCACAGTTGTATTACGCTCTTTTGTGCGAGGACTGGCAGTACCTCTTTCAGAGTTATGTAGAGTTAGGACACAGGAGAAAGGTGTTGCTTGCTTCAAGATCCATGCTAAGAGACCCAGCACAGGCCTGTGTTTATTGTTTTATATCTGCCCGACAGGAAGTGATGTCAGACAGGAAGTGGTTCACACAGCAAACCAGGAAGTGATGTTAACAACCACTTCCTCAATGCATAGCCAGTAAGCAAAACACATTAATACAATAATCTATTACCATCGGAGTGAGCTTTATCCAGCATTGCTCAGTGATCAATGCCCAATAAAGTTACTATGATTCTCATGCGTGCTTATTTACAGGGACAACGTTATATTATCTCCAGCGGTTGATCAGGCGCACTAGAGACAACAAACGCACGTTCCTTTCATATACTGCGTTCAAAACAAATGTATCCACGCAAGCCAATTAATCCATGCATTGCACGGGTGGGACCCCAGCCGTGCGTCCATACATTCGCCAAGAAGACACTGCTCCACCGGGTATAAGATATCTACTCCAATGGTTTACTCTTAGTGGGGATTTAAACCGGGTCACGCTCCAATTGAGCGTGACGCAGCAAACCCTGACACTGAGAGACATAATGACAAAATATTACAATACACTAAAAACACATCCTAGTAAAATTTCCACAACAATTGTCTTGTTGGAAGAAGCCATCCCCATTGGGATACGCCATCAACATGATAGGATGAACTTGATCAGCAACGATACTTTGGTATGTTGTGCTATTCAGACATTGTTCCACACCAATTAAAGGGCCCAAATCATGCTAGGAAAATATGCCCCAAACCATAACACTGCCCCCACCAGCTTGAAGGGTTGTGCTCATGCATTTGGGGTGCATGCTTTCATGCTGTTTCCGCCAAATTCTCACTCTGCCATCTGCATGATGCAACTGGAAACGTGATTCATCGGACCACATGACTTTTTTCCAATGCTTGACTGTCCAATCCTTGTGTTCCTGTGCGAATTGGAGACGTTTTATCTTGTTAACTGCAGGCAGCAAAGGTGTTCGAACAGGCCTTTGTCTTCCACATCCCATGCGATGCAGTGTACGGCGAACAGTGCGTTCAAAGATCATTTGAGAGGATCCCTGATTAAAAGCTGCAGTAATTTGATGCACTGTTGCCCTTCTGTTGTCTTGTACCAGTCTTGCCACTCTCCGTTCTGCCCTAACATTGACTAGTCGCTGACGGCCACAATTCGCACGTTCAGACCCAGATTTTCGGCTGACAGTCCAGTCTTTAAACACTTTTAACAACAGCTGCTCTTGAACATTTAACGAGTTCTGCTGTTTTGCTGATACTCGCTCCATGGCTCTAAGCGGCAACAATCATCCCACATTCAAAGGCTGTTAAATCGCGTTGTTTCCCCATATCTTCAGAAAAAAATCACTTCTACTGTCGTGGTAAACAACCTGCTTCCCTATGTATAATGGTCTGGCCCTCTAGCAACTTCAGCGCCAAATTATAGCTAATTTGCCTACAAACGTCAGGTGGTCATAATAATCTGCCCACTCAGTGTACGTCTTGCTTTGTATTGCACTATATACAAAGTATGACGTAATTCATCTCTGATGTGATTGCTGTTTATTAATGGCTTCTTAAAAAATGTTAGCAGTAGTTGGGCTGCAGCCTTGAAGAAGTATCAATTCCCTTCTACAAGTTTCAACACTGCAGAGAGAAAATCACAACCAAGGACAACATAATCACATCCTATGTCATACATTTTCCTCTTATGTGCAAGCAAGTTTCCGATGATCCAAAATTATATAGGTTTTACCACAAGTTGCAAGCATAGTATACACAGGTCTGAATATTCCACAGTGTAAAAGCTGGGTATACACGGTTATATGTTCTTCGTTCAACCTGCCGACTGAATTAAGAAAATATAACAGCTTTCTCCATCAACGCTAATAAGCGTGCATGGGGGAATCTCTCACTGTTTTCAAACAAAGCTTGTAGCTGATTGACTGCAGGGTCCCTTTGGCCGAGAATTCTCCAACCTGCTCTTTTGATCACCTGATCGAAGGATGCCAGGTTGAAGCGAGCCAACAGCGACACCCACTCTGCGAATTTCGGCCGGTTCACAGCCATAACTTGGGCATCTCAAGCACTTTTTTTAGGGTTAGTTCACACCATATGCAGTGCGTTCTGGTCCGATTCTGGCCGGAATGCACTGCATCGCATTGCGGCCGGCTCACTTTTTTGTGGGGCAGGAGGGGGTGTGGCGGGCCATTCAAGTGAATGGCACCGTAGTCACGCCCTCCAGCCGCAATGCGATCGCCCGCACGGGATCGCAAGGCACAATGCTTGCAGCATTTTGACCGGACCGCAGGCACAATGTGCCTTGCGATCCCGAATGGGCGATCACATTGCGATGCCGTGCGTTCCAGGCAGAATCGGACCGGAACGCACTGCATATGGTGTGAACTAACCCTTAGAGTTGCCCTTCATTTTAAAGATTGTAGCAGATAAGTGAGAATCCTTTTACTTGATATTGGCTAGATACAGACCTAAAAACTTTTAGTAGGATGATTTTGCCACTGAAATCCATTGAATATTGTAAGGGCTCATGCACACTATTTGGGAGTAATACAGGCGTACTTGCCCACAGTGTAAAATACACCTGTATTTGCAGCACCCAGGAGCTGCAACTTCTGTTTTTCTGTCCATAGGACAGGTGAAACTTTTACTTTTTATATTACGTTGCAAGAACATTAATAAAAACAACTTTCTAAAGCAGATTGGTGTGCAGATGACATATCTCTAACCCATTGTAACCGATCCCTTCACCTCCAGGTTTGATGACAGCTGTAAAGTTTTGAATTTTCTCATAACTTTCTGGTGCTGTCCAGCAGAGGGTGAATCTCTCCAGCAGGGATACGAACAATAAAAACCTGACTTTTCCCACTTTCACTGTGTATCCAAATTTATTTTTAAAACGGCTTTAGACATCCTTTAAAGGACCATTATACATTTGCAGTGACTTTTAGGCAGCAAAATGGCAATTTTATATACTCTACATGTGCTGTGGGTTTAGAGCCAAGGAAAAGAGGCGGCTTCCAAAGAAAATCTTAAATGCTACAAAGTGGAAAATCGGAAAGTGGTATCACCAGTAAAAGGGTTAAAGCACAGGTGTGTTTATTTTTATAACCAGTATACTGTATAAGCAGTAAAAAGGTTAAAACAGAAGATGAATTTGTTATCGGGATATTAGGAGTGGAAGGGTTAAAGGATGCATTTGTTGTGGATTTGTCACCAGGCTGTAAGAAGCTCAGTTGGGTTCTGAGAACACAATAGCTATGCCTACGAATCTCATTTACAACACTTGTAATCACAGCTCTTTGCAGGGTATTTTCACAGGGTAACAGAAATGGCATTAGGAGATTACATTTGAAAAGTCGTGCCGAGCACTAATAATCATCGTCATGAATTCGGTTGTGAAAGAGGAACTGTTTATGAAACAAAGCATTACATGAGCATTTAGCATTTCCTCGATCGAGTGTTATATTTGGTAGTATTAGCATTTTCTCTTATTCCATTGTGGTAAAGGAAAACCATAAATGATATACGATGAAGCCTTCATGGAGTGAGATTCTAAATAACAGCAATCACTGATCACTTTTGCAGTTCTGAATTTAGAGTGTTATATCGCAATAACTCGGAATGTTTGTGATTTTTAAACCCTTTTAAGATAACGGTCACTGCAAATGGAAAGCACTGCAAAAGGTAGCGATTTTAGCTTTTGTAGCTACCAAAACTGTGCAGACCATAACGCCCGCCCGTCACTTAACCAAAAAAAATAAAATAATTCTCGTGTTCATTCAACCTAAGGTAATCGCTTTAAACAGTCCTGTGTTTTAGTCGAGGTGACATTTTTCTTTCCTGGGAACAATGGGGGTGAGATTCTTATTCATCTCGTCATAATAAAAATATTGTAAGCCATTTGACAACACGACCGGCTTTTCAGATGTGCCTGTGCTTTCTTACAGTTGCAGGAGGCAATCAAGGCTGGCAAAGGTGTGACTTCAGCTATTGACCTGTGCCGTTACCATGGAAACAAAGCTCTGGAGACCCTGCACTGCTTCCCTCCCTCAAAGGCCAGATCCGCCTTAGAGAACATTGTATACGCTGTGACCAGATTTTCATGACACTCTACTTGGCTGGATGAAGCTGCTTATTTTTATTTTTTTTAATTTTATTTTGTTTTAATTAGCTGGAACAGTATAGTAAACTATATGGCCATCAAGGGGTCCTAACTGCATCCTTCTTTTGATTCGCCACATTGTGCAGTGGGTGTCGAAACTATTTTTTCTTGTTTGAATAGCTAAAGATAAAAATAGAATGAGAGAAAAAAAAAAGGTCAAATCGTTTTCTCTTGTCATGCCAGAAGCACACTTGAGGCTAAATAAGTAGAAATAATTAATGAGGTTTGCTGCTCTGACCTCAGCAAATGGCCAGGAAATAAGTCCTTATTGATTGGACATAGCCAGGGATGGCGCCAGTGTGGTGGCCTGTGGTTTTCCTGCTCCTGGGAGGACAGAAGGGGTGGGTTCTGCAGGTGTCAATAGGAAATCTCTTCTGTAAACTAAGTTCAGCATATCTATGCAGTGTGCGCCCACATCAAGGACACTCCTCATTAGCATGAAATGAGAAACTGCATGATTTAGGTGTGCGCATAGACCTTTGCAAAACGCTGTTCATTAAAGCACTGCTGTTTTAATTGTAATCTGTGGAAGACGAAACAAGCCCTCCTATATTTGCTGCTTTTCACAGTTTACATTTCGTGTTTGCAGGAATTCTTACTACGTGCTTTTATAAACATTAGTGTGACATTAATTGTTCACCTGTTAAATGTCTACATCAAAACACAATCAGTTATTAATAAAATATGAACCATTGTAGTTATTAAAACCTTATCTAGATAGATTTTTAAACAGAAAGTATTTGAAATTAGGGAATTCTTCATTGAGAGTATGGAAGGATATTTTCAACCAACCTGGGGACATGGTAAGAAGTTATATGATTGCTGTTGGTTGAAGGGTTTTTATTCCAAAGAAAACTCAATGAAACATTAACACGCACTGACAAGATCATATGTTATTTGTTGCCATTTTTCTTAAAAAGACTCGTATGTTTTTACCATTCTTTGAGTTCTTTTCCTGGGTAAATGAGCCTAAAATGTTTTTTATGTTCATTTCTTAATTATGTATTATGAATGTATGTACACCAATCATAGTCATAATTGACAGATTTTTGTGCTGTTGTGAAAATGAACGTATGACTGATTCTTGTTCTGTTTTGTTAGTTTTGGTTTTTATATTTTAATTCTCCTGGGTGGTCTAAAGAAAAAGAATATATTATAAATTGGATATGATCCCAGGCAGAAAATTCATTGCACAGTCAGTACATAGTAAAACATAGTTTATAAAAATATATGTATATTTAGTAGTGTTTCCAGCTGGATTTGGGTTTGTAGTAATGAGTACAGAAGAATGAATGAATGGATTTCCTCTGTATCCAAAATGTTTTCTTTCCTAACCTTAGTTTGTCAGATTAAACACCTCTGAAAACGCCATTGACAGAATATAAGGTAATCACATCACGGAACCCGAGCCTGTCTCTGTTTTGTTCATCGGAGATGATTTTTGTGGTTTGCATGCATGCAACGTGAGAACATCGTTGACAAGAAGGCTGAGTTTACACAAATGATCTAGATTGAGACTCAGCTACCTTTCTTCCTTCTGTGGTGTAATTACAGCCCAATCCGGAGACAGCTAGCACAGCAAACAGATTTCATTACATCGCTCACTCAGACACTTGAAGTAAAGTTATTTCAGTTAGTTCTCCCTTCCTCTCGCCTAGCAGAAAGACATGTCACAAAGTTATCAGTGATTAGCTTGTTGCATTCAACTAGATAGGAAATAGCTTATTTTATTTTGTTGTATGTAAGGACTGCTGAACGTAGATTGTTCTATAAGACTGCTTTATTTATTGTTTATCGTTCATTAAAGTGTATTTCTACTTTTGAAGCCAAATAGGGTTAACACTTACTTTATATTTGTTAAATTTCCATTCACATAGCATAACTTCAACTATATACACTGAGTGGCCAGATTATTATGACCACCCCATCAGTACTTTATTGGGCCATGAGATGACTTCGTTGGGCCGCCTCGTGACTCCACGAGATGTTGAAAGGTGATGCGAGGAATCTGACACTGCATTGTTGCCCTTCTGTTGTCTTGTACCAGTCTTGCCACTCTCCGTTCTGCCCTAACATTGACTAGTCGCTGACGGCCACAATTCGCACGTTCAGACCCAGATTTTCGGCTGACAGTCCAGTCTTTAAACACTTTAACAACAGCTGCTCTTGAACATTTAACGAGTTCTGCTGTTTTGCTGATACTCGCTCCATGGCTCCGAGCGCTAACAATCATCCCACGTTCAAAGGCTGTTAAATCGCGTTATTTACCCATATCTTCAGGAAAAAATCACTTCTACTGTTGTGGTAAACAACCTGCTTCCCTATTTATAATGGTCTGGCCCTCTAGCAACTTCAGCGCCTAATTATAGCTAATTTCCCTACAAACCTCAGGTGGTCATAATAAACTGGCCACTCAGTGTATAACAATTGTGGCTTACCTTTTTAGATGCTGTTTCCTGAAAACCCCAGGACTGAAAAATCAGGCTTAGTTCTCCTTGTTTATGATGGAGCTGGGTAATTGTGTTTTCTTTAATTAACCCTGACTGTACTGTGCTGCAGGACCTACATCACGAGTTGTAAACTGCTGTGCAGGACTGTGTGTCCTAACAAAGGGTTAAAGATATCAAGGTGTGGTATGTTAATTCACTGAAAACAAAAGTGTTCCTCAGTCTGTCTCATCTCCATATTGCCACCTACTCAAGGCAGTAGAAGATGCAAATAGAGCCCTATGTGTAATAATGCTCCAAAGATGCAGCTAAAAAGGTAAGATCATTTTTTAAAGGTTTGCTGTCTGAATGGGAACACATGCATTTAAAGTGGGGGTTCTTATATTTGACTGCAAATGTGTAAATACACTTTAAGGGATACCGGATCAGTAGTTATTCTGCTATTATTAGGTTATACTGTCACTTCAGAAAGATTTGGACACTGGCAAACAAAAAGCCATATTTTCTCTTTACCCCCTTCAATCCAAACTTCACTTGCACAGTGCTCAGATAGGCTCACTATGCAGTATCTGGATTGGCTAATTCTCAGTACCACCTTAGAGGCCATACCCAGACCCCACTGGACCAAAGATGGCGAGTATGCACCGATACCAAGTATTTGGGCGAATTCTCATCACCAGGGAGCAAGGAGCTGGCTTCCTGGCCAATCAGGATGCCGGGGGTGTGTAATGACTCCCTGCCCGGCTTCATGATTGGTCGGGAAGTTGGGGCAGGATGCAGTGACATCATTAACCTTATGTGGCTACATGCCTATATTGGGTAAATTACATTTACCCAATATGGCTATGTGGCCATATAAGGTAAATGACAATAACACAAGCAGGGTCCCTTTGTTTACATGCAGTTTGTGGGGATGAAAAACATATATATGTATAAAAAA